TGCTCTTCGCTCCTTGGCCTCATCAGGTGTCCCAGGCCCTTCCCCACAAATACCTTCATCAGAAGCTGGAGTGACCCAAGTACATGCAGGTTTCCCTCACCCACCTCCTAAGGCAAACAGTCACCCCCTTCTCTGACACTCCTGGGACCAGGTCTCCTTTGAGGAGTTTCTTCCCAAGGGGACCTGATGCCCTGCAAAAATGTGTGTGGAGTGGGGGGAACCGGCTTGTCTGCCCCCACTCGGGAAGCGATGACTTTCCCACATTAGATCAGTCAAACAGCCTCTCCCCCTGGTAGAAGAACACTAAATTCCCCTCTCCAGAAGTTCATCTATTTCTAGGTCATGATACTAACAGCACAGAACGAAGGGGTCATTTCACATTAAACGGCGTCTCAACAGGATGATGGGGGGAAAGTTAAATGACTCGACACCACTTGAGCAAGTGAATAATGACTCTCAGTGGCCCAAAAGGTTAATTGTCTTACTCTTTCCTTAGCAGCGGAGATCACGTCTTTTAATGTCTGCAGTGAAAAACAGGTGAAATTAAACTAATTCTGTTAGCTGTTTTGCATTATTAAAGTTTTATCCCGTTGCATATAGTTCGAATCCAAAACCAGCCCATTTCCCCTAAGACCAGCCGGCTCCCAGACCCTGGGAAAGCACCAGGAGCGCTGGTCTGAGAGATTTCCGAACTGTTTTGGTTAGAGACGAGAGGGACGATTTCCCTGGGCGTGAGGGAGACGGAAAGGGGCAGCTCAGTGTTGATGTTGTTTTTATTTCCTAAATCCTTTTGACAAAAAGTTTTATCTGCTACACCCGAAGGCCCCACAGCTGCTGCTTGGAGACGTTATTCCATTGAGAGATCTCTCGTGTTAACACAACCAAAGGGAAAACTGTGCTAGTTTAATGAATGAACTGAGTTCTTCTTATTCTCTTTACTGTTCTTATAAGGTTGACTAAAGGAGGATAGAGGAATGTACCTTTTAGGGGGTGTCAGGTTTGTGAATGAAGAGCAGCAGAGAAGCAGAAAGTGAAACTGGCTTTCATTACATTGGCACCCCTATTTAAGGCGGGAGTTGGCTTGCGGTGTGTAAAGCAGAGAGGTAGGGGTGATCCAGCACGCTGTGGTTATCAGGTGGTGACCTCCCCCAGCGTCTGGACTCTTGTAACACTCCGATTTCGTAGCTGGAGGGTGAAAGAACCAGAAGAAGGTTACTGCCAGAAAAAGAACTTCAGAGTACAAACTTGCCTAGGGTTTCTTCCGGACTGTCACGATGCATGGGACTGGCTTACAAGTGCAGCCCGGCTAGCTCAGTCGGTAGAGCATGAGACTCTTAATCTCAGGGTCGTGGGTTCGAGCCCCACGTTGGGCGATGAGTTTTGCTGCTACAGTACCATTATTTTAGTTATTGTCTCAGCCTGAATTGAAATGCATTCTCTGATCTCACGATGATCTTAGGCAGGAAATGACTTTTCCTGTCTCTGAACTTTAACACAACATGTAAAGAGGGCAAATTGACAGTACCATATTCCTATGAGAGTGAGAGATGATTTTTCTCCTTTTCTGTTCAACCCCAGACAAGAGAGAGAAAAAAAATAACCCATCAGCAGCTGATTGTCCCCCTTCAGCGATCAGTAGCGTCTCTACTTCTTTTTACATTGTCTCCAGCTCTGACAGGGCTGCATATAACTACTTCCCTGTCATAGTCTCCAGACAGCCCTATTTATTTCATAGAGATTTTTTCAGGCTGAAGATTCCGACCACATTGTATTCATTCCTTGTAAATTTCTGTAACTCCTTGTTACTTCATCAGTAATGATTTATAAAAACAGGCTTGAGAGTAAAACAAGAAGGTAATAAACTGATTGTTTTTTTAAAAAAGATGTGTCCTCAATTAATAATATTGAAAATTGTTTTAATTTGTTTTCTGTTTATCTTTTATGTCAATGTAGTCTGCTAAAAATATTAAGGGAACAGTAAGGAAATTAGTAGCTCAGAGCTTGTGTTAACATCGTTTGAAGAAGAACAAGGGGTTGAGTCTTCAAAAGTGTTATAGAAAAAATGTTATTTTAAAAGGGGAAAGTGATGTTGTATTTTAAAAGGCTGGCTTAGAAATTTCCAATGTTTATTTTCTGATTCCTCACACCCCGACACTGCCTAGACAGGAAAGCAGGGGAAATGTGATCATTGGTCAATAGATGTTTCTGACATGAAAAGGGGCCATGAGGCTGTTTGTAGTTAGCTCAAAAGAAACAGAAAAGGGGGGAACTGCCGGCTGGGAGCTAAATATGCAGGACTCAAGTGGTTTAGCCCAGTGGTTCTCAACCAGGAGTTTGGGGACCCCTAGGGGGCCGCAAGCAGGTTTCAGGGGGGCCACAAAGCAGAGCCAATGTTAGACTTGCTGGGGCCCAGGGCAGAAAGCTGAAGCCTTGCAGTGTTGGGCTGAAACCCGGGGCCCTGCCACCTGGGGCTGAAGCTAAAGCCTGAGCAACTTAGCTTTGTGGGGACCCCTGTGCCATGGGGCCCTGGGCAATTGTCCTGCTTGCTACCCCTAATGCTGGCCCCATCCCTGGTCTACATCCCCACTCCTCCCCTCCCACCCAGCTCCTCCTGCACACCACTGAACAACTGTTCCGTGGTGTGCTGGGAGGGAGGGGGAAGAGGAGGGCAGCTTGGCTGCTGGTGGGTGCTAAGCACCCGCTCATTTTCCAGCCCTGGAGCACCATCGGAGTTGGTGCCTATGAACTGGAGTTCTACTAACCCTGGGCTTACACGGCAGTGTAGACATACATTGAGTTAACTTATCTGTGTTCGGGAAGCACAGTGCTGGAAAGGAGGGTGAGGCGTCTGTTTACTCAGGTGCAGAGTGCGTGGGGGAAAGCATTGTTCCAGGGAAACAATATCCCCACCCCCACCCTGGGGACTGAACAACCTGTGACCATTGGTTCAAACAGAATTATTTTGTATGTGGAACTGAGGTGGATCTTGTGAGAAGGCAGGCGGAGACCTTGAGACGGCAGACCCTCGGACTTCAGTTTGCCAGCAGGCTGCTTGGCTGGATATCGCCTGGTAAGAGATCCCCCAATAAGATTTGAATTGCATTTGACTTTTCTACATAAAGTGTTCATCATCTTTCTTCTTCTTCCTATGCTGGGCTCCAGCTAACACCTGTAGCTTTCATTAGATCTGTTTAAAGAATATTAACTGCACAAGATTCACCCTCTAAAATCAGTGAGAGCAGAACATGGGTCCGACTGTTCTGTGTTGCTTTTATAGGTCAAGACACACCTTTATTACAGAAGGTGATGTTTCATAGGCAGCTATTTAAGTACAGGATCAGCTAGTGTGTTCTCTATGAGCCTGCTTAGCTCAGTTGGTAAAGCATAGAACTTTTAATATAAAGTTTGTAGCATTAAGTCCTGTGTTGGGTCAAAGGTGTTTAATCATTCCCAGCTCAATACAAATTTTCCAGTGGGCTGCGCCCCCAATATTCTGCACATTCATGCACTCACCTGTCTTTGGTCTTATAAATGTGCCCTGATGACAGCTCATTTGTTGGCAGGTCCTGTCGTCCCCTTCAGTAGTGGAAGCTTAGACTCGTAATTTCAAGCGTAGTCAAAATCCCTTCTTTGGTAGCAGGTCCAGAGAAAGAGGAAACCTGTGGTTCTAGCAAGTCCTTTGTCTTGCCTGAAGTCCAGTAACTCATAAGAGAACATTGTTTTCTACTTGTAGCATGGAGGTCAGCAGCTACACTATTGGCATTGAACGTGGCTTTTGTGTTTGCTTCAGGGCTTGGAGCTCAGCCAAAGGGAGCAGGAGGGTGTTTATCATAAGAGATGACTGAATAGCAAAGTAAAGATGATTCAAGCCAGGGCACTCATGAGCCCCAGGAAGATGAATTACAAAACAAGGAGGGCCAGATCCTTAACTGACCTAAACAAATTTAGGACCATTGACTTCAAAGGAGCTACGCTGATTTACAGCACTGAGGATCTGAGCCAGAAGAGAGCACCCATCCGTGTACTTTCTGCCCTATGTGCCTGTGACCGTATTCGCTTTTCTTTCTTTCTTTCTTTCTTTCTTTCTTTCTTTCTTTCTTTCTTTC